GGAATATGTACATAGGATGGTGCCTTCATTGATCATGTCCCCGCTTATGAATATTGGGGCATCTGGATTGATGAAAGCTATCTTTCAAAAAGCATGTTGATGAGTTAGTTAAGAAATTAAGAATTAAAATTGGCTTATTTTAGGAATAGGTCATGCCTTTCATTAAATAGCAGAAAACAAATAATTCAGTTGACATTCATACCGGTTATAGACTATGGGGATATTGACTATATGAATGCAGCTGCCACTGTATTGAAGCCATTAGCACACTATGTTTTATCACAGGCGATAGGTTCAGTACACATCACTGCATTCTGTATCAGAAAGTAGGCTGACCCTCTTTGAAGTATTGTAGATCTATGCTTTGCAGTCTTTTTGTTTATAAAGCCCTCCTGCATAAACTTCCACCATACCTTACTCCATTGTTAAATTATAGACTTACAGTGGGTATAGAAAGTGAACACCCCTTTCAAAATGTTCACCATTTGTTGCCTTACAGCCTGAAATGAAAACACATAAAAAAATTTACACACAGTAACCCACAATATCCAAGTAAAATACAAAAATCTAAAAAACTCTGAAAATGAATTACAAGTAAAACAGTAAAATACCCTATTTGGATAAGTGAACACCCCCTCCCCCCTTAGAATTGAAATTGCAAACTTGTTGAGGTATAACCAACCACCATCCAGATCAAAAATCAAGCTAGTTGGCTTCCATCTGTGATCAATTGTAGTGACTTTGATTAGTTCAGAATAAAAGCAGTTGTTCATAGAGGACTCCACTGCTCATTAGTGCAATTCAATGCAAAGAATCCACTATGGGCGGAAAGGTACTTTCAAAAGATCTACGAGATAAAGGCACAAGTCAGGGGCAGGATATAAAAAGATTTCAAAGGCTTTGTCTATCCCTCGGAGCACAGTTAAGACCATTATTAAGAAGTGGAAGGTGTGTGGCACCACCCAGACCCTGCATAGATCAGGCCGTCCCTCCAAACTGGATGACCGGGCAAGGAGGAGACTGATCAGAGAGGCTACCAAGAAGCCAATGGCAACTTTGAAGGAGCTACAGGCCTTTATGACAAAGACTGGTCAATCTGTGTATGTGACCACAATATCACAAGCGCTCCATAAATCTGGCCTCAATGGGAGGGTGGCAAGAAAAAAAACATTACTCAAAAAAAGCCACATCAAGTCTCGTTTGAGCTTTGCCAAAAAGGACGTTGTAGATTCCGAGGCCGAGTGGGAAAAGGTGCTGTGGTCAGATGAGACCAAAATTGAACTTTTTGGACTGAACGCAAAATGATATGTCTGGTGAAAACCCAATACATCTTTCCACCCAAAGAACACCATGCCTACAGTAAAGCACGGTGGTGGCAGCATCCTGTTGTGGGGGTGTTTATCTTCAGCAGGGACTGGAGCACTTGTCAGGATAGAAGGTAAAAATGGACAGTGCAAAATACCGACAGATTCTTGAGGAGAACCTGCAGCCCTCTGCCAGGAAGTTGAAAATGGGAAGTTCACGTTTCAACATGTGAATGACCCAAAGCACACTGCCAAAGCAACCGCACAGTGGCTGAAGAACAAGAAGGTAAATGTCCTTGAGTGGCCTAGTCAGAGCCCCGACCTAAATCCCATCAAGAATATGTGGAATGACTTGAAGAGTGCAGTCCATGAGCGGTCACCATGCAATTTGACTGAGCTTAAACAATTCTGCAATGAAGAATGGACAAATATTGCACGTTCTAGGTGTGCAATGTTAGTAGAGACAATCAAAGAGACTCATGGCTTGGTTCCACCAAGTATTAACTCAGGGGGGTGTTCACTTATCCAAATAGGGTATTTTACTGTTTAATTTTAGAGTTTTTTAGATTTTTTTTTTCACTTGGATATTGTGGGTTACTGTGTGTAAATAAAGCTGGAAAAAGTCTGATTTTATGTGTTTTCATTTCAGGCTGTAAGGCAACAAAAGGTGAACATTTTGAAAGGGGTGGTCACTTTCTATACCCACTGTATACACCCCATCATTTTTTTTTTTTCTTTACCTTATGATCTTTAAAGCACTTGAAAATGGGAGGAATTGGTGCCTCTAGGGCATTTCAGATGGCTGTTAGGGGACCCTTTTACTCAAGAATGTGTCTGTTTTTTATGATTGTGTTTTGTTTTTCATGTACAGTGCCTTCAGAAAGTATTCATACCGCTTGACTTATTCCACATTTTGTTGTGTTACAGCCTGAAATCAAAATGGATTAAAATGTTGGTGTTTTTATCACCGATCTACACACACTACCCCAAAGCAAAGTGAAAACATTTCTTTACAAATGTTAGCAAATTTATTGAAAATGAATTACAGAAATATGTAATTTACATAAGTATTCACACCCCTGAGCCAATACATGTTAGACTCACCTTCCACAGGGATTACAGCTGTGAGTCTTTCTGGGTAAGTCTCTAAGAACTTTACACACCTGGATTGTACCATATTTGCACAATATTCTTTAAAAAATTCTTCAAGCTCTGACAAGTTGATTGTTGATCATTGCTAGACAGCCATTTTCAAGTCTTGCCATAGACTTTCAAGCGGATTTTAGTCAAAACTGTAACTAGGCCACTCAGGAACATTCAATGTCTTCTTGGTCAGCAACTCCAGTGTATATTTGGCATTGTGTTTTAGGTTATTGTCCTGCTGAAAGGGGGATTTGTCTCCCTGTGTCTGTTGGAAAGCAGACTGAACAAGGTTTTCCTCTAGGATTTTGCCTGTGCTTAGCTCTATTCCGTTTATTTTTATCCTAAAAAAATGCCGATGACCAGCATACCCATAACATGATGCAGCCACCACCATACTTGAAAATATGAAGAGTGGGGCCTCCCGAGTGGCGCAACGGTCTAAGGCACTGCATCGCAGTGTTGCGATGTCACTACAGCCTGGGGTTCAATCCCAGGCTGTGTCACAACCGGCCGTTACCGGGAGTCCCATAGGGCGGTGCACAATTGGCCCAGCATCGTCCGGGTTAGTGGAGGGTTTGGCCTGGGGGGGCTTTACTTGTCTCATTGCGCTCTAGCGACTCCTTGTGGCGGACCAGGCGCATGCAGGCTGACTTCGGTCGTCAGTTGACGGTGTTTCCTCCGACACATTGGTGCAGCTGGCTTCTGGGTTGAGTAAGCGGGTCTGGGCGTGTCATGTTTCAGACGACGCATGACTCGACCTTCGCCTCTCCCGAGCCCGTTAGGGACTTGCAGCGATGAGACAAGATTGTAATCATGAAATTGGGGGTAAAAATAAATAAATAAATGAACAGTGCCCCAAACATAACGGTTTGTATTCAGAACATAAAGTACATTTATTTGCCACATTTTTGTAGTTTTACTTTAGTGCCTCATTGCAAACAGGATGCATGTTTTGGATATATGGTTTATTCTGTAGAGGCTTCCTTCTTTTCACTCTGTCATTTAGATTAGTATTGTGGAGTAACTACAATGTTGTTGATCCCATCCTCATTTTTTTGCCTATCACAGCCATTAAACTCTCTAACTGTTTTAAAGTCACAATTGGTCTCATGGTGAAATCCCTGAGTGGTTTTCTTCCTCTCCGGAAACTGAGTTAGAAAGGACGCCTGTATCTTTGTAGTGACTGGGTGTATTGATACACCATCCAAAGTGTAATTAATAACTTGACCATGCTCAAAGGGATATTCAATATTTGCTTCTTTTTTTTTAACCCATCAATCAATAGGTGCCCTTCTTTGTGAGGCATTGGGATACAGAGATGAGGTAGTCATTCAAAAATCATGTTAAACACTTTTATTGCACACTGAGTCCATGCAACTTATTATGTGATATTTTTACTCCTGAACTTAATTAGGCTTGCCATAACAAAGTGGTTAAATACTTATTGACTCAAGATATTTCAGCTTTTCATGTTTAATTAATTTATAAAAATGTCTAAAAACGTAGTTACACTTTCACATTTTGGGGTATTGTGTGTAGGCCAGTCACACAAAATCTCTATTTAATCCATTTTAAATTCAGGCTGTAACACAACAAAATCAGGGGAAAGTATTTATCTTCACAGTTTGCAATGCAACTGCCATACAGTACAATAACACTGCTGTCAGAGAATGTTTCTTGGTCTATAGTTGAACTGTGTGGAGCATGTCATCATTATGAAACACTGCAACATTGAGGCTGTTTCCTTCCCCGTCTATGGTCTGAATGCTATTATCATGTCAGGCACAGCTTCTCTAAGGGAATCCAGACAGATTTACTCACACCCCAGTCCGTTTGAGTGCTTTGCCTCTCTCTCTCTCTCTCTCTCTCTCTCTCTCTCTCTCATACTCCCAGGCTCCCAGGCTTTCAGACCCAAAGTCATGGGGGTTCCATGATCGGTTCCTCAGATGGAATTAAAATGTCTCATCTCGCAGCTGTCACCCATGCAAATCGCATTGTCCACACAATCTATTTGTGAAAACCACTACTGGTCTATTCTGTTCGATGCCTTTCTCTGCCTGTTTTTATGATGTCGTTATCAGCCAAGCTGCCTCCATCGTTAATGTTTCATCCAGTAATCGCCTCTTTCTTTTCTCTCTTTTGTTCTAGGTTTACCGGCATTCATACATGGCCTCATATAGCATTTATAACATTCACACAAGGTATGTTTCATGTGCTTGTTTACCATGTGTTTGTTTACTTGTCCAGACAATCTCTTCTAAGGCAGTTTAGCTCAGGTGGATGCTAAGAGCCTGGTGAATCCACAACAAACAATGAAATTCAATATTTTGTTAGTCATGACCTTTTAAATGTCAATATTTATGATAAAACAATGTTTTTAAGTGGAGTTCTATGGGGCCTTGTTTACATTTGAGTAATTTAGCAAATGCTCTTATCCAGAGCGACTTACAGTTAGAGTTACTGGTCTATCCCGAAGTTAAAGGTGCATCTTTGTAAATGCCTTCCACTGCTCTAGGTAGAAGTCTTACTGGTTACTTACTGTTGTTTTTCAGGGAGGTATGGGAGTTGGACCCTCCGGAGGTGCTGAACTCTGTTCTGCAGTACGCTGCATGGGGAGTACAGGGCCAGCAACTGGTAAGTCAAAGACAAGTTGGCCACTCCTACATGCAACCCTTCCATATCACACCTGTTACCATTGGGAATAATGCAACAGTCATATTTTGTGATTTTTCCGGTTAAAGTCACAATCCTATATCACATGACATTTGAATATTACTCCAACTAGGAAGTTTGCATTTCTTGGCGTGATGGCTAACGTATTGGGTTGATAGTCGGTAGACCCCGGTTTGAGTCCCAGGCGGGGCTACCCCCCGAACTTGCAATATTCTGCATGTACACACCCCAGTGTTGAAAGTAACTGAGTATAGTCCTTGGCTACTGAGGGTTATGTCAGCTATTTGTTTTGTAGTTTTTGGGTACATCTTGAATAAACTACAAAAATGTTGCTTTAACAAGTGTTGCCCGTGGCCTGTAATGTATGTACAAAGGAATAGGAGCAGTTGGTTTGCCCAGGATCAACAGTGAAAAAAATATTTTTTATTTTTTATTTTTGAAATGCTGTTATTTCTTGGTTTAGCCTTCGGGATGATTTTCTTTCCTCTTCGTCATGTAATTGCTTTGTTTGATTTAATTGTTCTCCAATTGAATCCCTGCATGGAGTGCATTTTGAACTTTTAATTAGGCTGTGCTTTGATTATGCTGCGGTTGAAAGTGAATCATGTTTCTCATTAAAGTGGTAACAATAGAGTACATGAACATTTATGTTTGAGTGAATAAAAAAATTAAATTAAATGTAAAGCCAGAATGTATAGATAATATCCACTCCGTCTCCTGTATTGGCTTAGAAGGTCAACCAAGTTACCTGGCCTTTAAAACATTTGCATCTAATAATTACTTTGATCTCTTTAGTCACAAAACAATGCTGTGGACATTCAAACATGTTGACAGCTTTCAGTCAGATTATTTGAGAACATGATATTTGATCAACATGACAATCGGTAGTGAAATGCCAAGCACACCTGAAACAACCTATACTAATGTGACATTCAGTATGCCATGTAAATGTGGACCATTTCCTCCAAGCCTGACTATTTCTCTCAAATCTGCTAATTTTGTAGTGCTTTGTAGTGAAGCCACGGAGCAGGATTAACTACAGTGCCAAGATGGCTAACTCGCTGGGCAGTGGTCATAGTGGCAGCAGGGTCCTTCTACCCCAGCCCCATCTCCTTTGGAAGGCTTCTTTGAAGCTTCTTCGTACAGCTGCTCCGACACCGTTCTGATAGGCTCACCTGTGTTGGATCCCACTTCTGACACCAAATGTTATGAAGTTGGGGGTCATGTGGAATTCAAACCCGATGCCATCCATTTGGATGGTGGGTGCACAATTGTAACAACAGCGCCAAGAAGGTTAATGTATTTGGCTGAAATCATGGGGAAACTAATGGTAGGGTCATTATGGTATCAACCAAAATCCCACCAAAAATGTGATGCAATAAAACAGCCACTCGAACCAAGAACCCAGAACCCTATCAGTCTAATTCTGGGAAAGTGAGATCCAACATGCACTTGAACTAAAACAAGAGCCAGCCTTTCTGAAACCAACTATCAAAGCACAGCATTCTAAGCAGGTTGATGTGGAATGTCAAACGACTCTCGCATTGTACTCCAGTTCGTTTTCGAAATAGAGAATCATTCAAATTAGATGACAATACCTTTTCATTTGTTTTTCATTAGACAGATGGGGCACCTTTTGTGGACAGCTAACAGGCTTAAGTATTACAGGCTTCTTGTCTGCAATTGCAACATTCGGTGTGGTTTATTTTGCCGTAAATCAAACTCACCTCCATTAGAGGGCCATTACGGTGATGAGGGATGAGGCAGACAGATATCCAGGGATTCGGGGCTCTCGAGTAGCATAAGCTCCATCGTTAGCCACAATTGTATCTTATGAATACATGACACTGCTAATATATCTTGGATGGGATGCCAGTTCTGTGAGTTGTTTTGTTGTGTAGACTAGATATTAAATTGACAGCATCCTTAAAGTGAACTAGCTGTCAACACAAACTCAAGCTCAAAACATCCAAAAACATACATATAAATGTTATGATAGCACTTCCTCATAACCAAACCTGTCATAGCCAATGTATTTCCTAACTGAAAATCCTACCCCATCTTAGGACAGCTAGTCCCAGTCTTTATTGAAGTAGATGGTGCATTGATGTTGAAACTGTTGAAACTGTTCAAGACATTGCTGTTTAAAGCAGCTCTTTTAGCTGAATCCTATACCACACACACTGCCTTCTGGAGCGATTTAGGAAGGTTGCCGCTACTCAATGCCTTTGATATAACAGCAGGGCCTGCAGAGCCTGAGACGGGGTCAGCTCAGCTCAGCTCCGTGACCGAGTGACTACATAACGGTGCTTTATGTAAGTCTGGCTGATGCAGACAGCTGGTTGACTGGGAAACGTTGGATGGTTAAGGAATTGGTTGCTAATTTCAACACAGGTCTATGTAACACAGGTCATTTAGGTTGTTAATGGAATCGGACGTTAGGTTTCTGGAATTTCTCTGGACAGGGGGGATTCCTTGCCTTCAGGGTGAGACTTGAATAAGACCTGAATTGAAAATGTGTTGTTATTTCCCCCTTTTCGTGAATTTCAACATATCTGCTAATTTGACTGGGTACCCTAGGTGATATACAATATTCATATTTCTCTCTCTGTGTTCAAAACTGAATTATTGTTAAAAGTTGAAATTTCATTGACTTTCACATTTCAGACCTGTAGAGGTCATGCCAAAGTTAAATGTTAAATGAAATGTGATATGTCAGTGATTACTTTTCTGATCTCCTTGTGTGTCCTTGTGCCCACAGATCTATCAGTTCCAGGAAATCCCACACTGAAAAATATGAAATTCACTACTTTTATTAATCTGCTTGCTCTACCCTCATATTTAGTTTCACATAGAAGTGTTTCACATTTCTATGTTAAGCATGACCTTTCAGGACAACCAGAGCTACAAGTAGAACACAATTTGACATAAACAGTTCCATTTATGAGTTTTATTGCCAAATGTCAATAGAAAAATGTAAAGCTATAATCAAGCTAAATCTTGATTAAAAAAAATGAATTTATAAGAATGCTGTAAGTACAGAAATTGTTTGCTTGGTGAGAAATGAATATCCAACTAGTCAGTGACAACTGTGTGGAGTTTGGAGTTTGTGACCGGAATTATGTGAGCTTATTACAGTACTATAGACACTATGTCCTGGGATTTCCTATGATGGTGTGGCTTGTGAGCGTCATAGAGTCGCAGCTTTTCATAGATGGGTCATACATTTTGTAGCTCAAACCGTTCTGACTTTGCAGACATTTTTGTGAGAAGAAGCGTTTCACAAACACAGCTCTAGCTCAGCCCCCGTTAATCACACAGAATAATGGTTGGTATCAGCGGATGCAGAAGAAATAGACAAATCCAAAAACCCAAATCTGTAGCTCAAAGACACAATGTTTAAAAGGGGTTAAAACACACATATGTCAGTGATGACTTTCCTGATCTCCTTGTGTGTCCTTGTGCACACAGATCTACATATTTGAGAACAATATTTACTACCAATCAGATGTGAAGAGCAACTCCCTCAGACTGACATCTTCTGGAAAGGAAGGGGTCATCTTCAATGGGATCGCTGACTGGCTGTACGAGGGTAGGTATTAGCATTTACTTAAATAGACTGTACAACTAAAGTCCTTTTAGAAATGTGGCAGATGTTCACCAAAGTTGGCATCACTGTCACAAATCCTATGGAGAAAATTGAGAAATGGTGCCATATGATTCATTTTAGAATATAATATTTGTGACAGTTTATTTGAAAGTGTGGGCAGAACTCGCTAACACCTACACATGCAACACAACATCTAACAATAGCAAACTGGTATCATGAAAGCATAATCACTGTCACAATTCCTTTTAATAAAACAGAGAAAATGTTGCCATATAATTGGTATTAGTATGGAATATGTGTGACAGTTTATTTGAAAGTGTGGGCAGAACTTGCTAACACCTACACATGCAACACAACATCTTACATTTGCAAACACTGCCCGCTAGGCACACCACATAAATTCAACGTGGAAATGTGGGTAATATTTGGTTGAGATTTCAACTTTTATTCACCTACTCAAAAAGAGACAGTTTATTGAAAACCCAATGTGTTATCACTGCGCTTTCAACCATTTAAAAGCACAACAAAGTTCAAATGGGAATACAATGTCAGATATTTATTTATTTATAAAACCACTTAATGTTTTATCACTGTGCTTCTTCTAATAGCAGAACCAAATGACCTGGATTGCAGTTGAGATTATATTAAAAGTACATAGTAAAAGTGATCAATGCTGTTCAAGATTCTGCGCAGATTATTATAAATTGTGAAGGTCTCCACAGACCTGCAACCTTTGCATCCTATCTTGAACATGCACACATTCTATGACTACATAAGAATACATTTATAGTTACAGGAGGCTAACCTCAAAATGTAGCCATGGATGTGTTACTAATTTTAAGGTTGAAAAATACTGTTACATTAGTGTGTAGTGTAAGATAGCCTTAACTTTAGACTGTTTACTGTATTACAAAAGTAATATTGAATAGTGTTTGGTTGACAACACAACCAACTATCAACATTTAAAGGATATCTAATACTTGTATAGTTTCATCTGAGCCACTGACTTAATCCTATTCTGTAACTTTTATTTTTGGTTCACGTTGGAGATGTGAATCCAACATATCATCTGATTAGTTGTCGACAAGTTATTAGGCTGTTTACTGTATTGCAAAATATATATTGAAGTATGTTTGCTTGTCAACACATCCAAATATCAGAGATGTATATTTTTGGGCACTGACTTAGTCTGGCTTTAATTCCAATGTGTCTACATATTAATAATTGATATGTTGGAGTCACATCTACATCTCCACCAGAAATCGTTAAATCGTTAAAGAATAGGACTAAATCAAATCAAACTTTATTCAAAGTGCATTTCAAGTTTGATTTAATTTGATTTATTCAACCTTTTTGGTTGAGATGGATACATGGATCCAACATATCAATTATTCATTTGTAGACTAAATGGAATTAAAGCCAGAATAAATCAGTGGCACAGATGGAACAATCCATGCAGAAGATACATCTGCTTCAAATGCTGATATTTGTTTGTGTTGACAATCAAACAGAATTCAAAATCCAGTTTGTCTACAAATGAATATTTCATATCTCAACCAACAATTGTAGTTAAGGAATAGGACTAAATCTAATCTAATCAAACTTTAAATGCATATTAAATAAAGTTTGATTTGATTTAGTGATATTCTTTAAATTAGATTTTGGGTTGAGTTTTGAGACATGAATCCAACATATTAATGATTAACTTGAAGATTACATTTGAAATCAACCAAAGCTTGAAACCCTAGCCCTACATGTATATGTATTGTCTATTTTTAGTTGAAACCTGTGTTGAATTGAAACAATAGCTGTTGATTACTTTGCAAATTCTATATAGGCCTAAATAGTATCATTGATGATATATGACTTATAAAGTATGGTTGCATTTAATTTCCTCTATTAAACCTACCCTTTGGAATGACTTCGATAGCAACAGTGAATATATTTAGTTATTAAGAGATCTCTCAAAATTAGTCAGTGACAAATATCAAAGCTAAGCAGGGCTTGGTTAAAACCCTGGATGCGAGACCAAATTAATAGCTTTAAATACAGTGCCTTGCAAAAGTATTCTTCCCCCTTGACGTTTTTCCTATTTTGTTGCATTACAACCTGTAATTTAAATTGATTTTTATTTGGATTTCATGTAATGGACATACACAAAATAGTCCAAATTGGTGAAGTGAAATGAAAAAAATAACTTGTTTCAAAAAATTCTAAAAGATAAATAATGGAAAAGTGGTACGTGCATATGTGTTCACCTCCTTTGCTATGAAGCCCCTAAATAAGATCTGGTGAAACCAATTACCTTCTAAATTCACATAATTAGTTAAATAAAGTCCACCTGTGTGCAATCTAAATGTCACATGATCTGTCACATGATCTCAGTAAATATACACCTGTTCTGAATGGCCCCAGAGTCTACAACACCACTAAGCATGGGGCACCACCAAGCAAGCGGCACCATGAAGACCAAGGAGCTCTCCAAACAGGTCAGGGACAAAGTTGTGTAGAAGTACAGATCAGGGTTGGGTTATAAACAAATATCCGAAACTTTGAACATCCCACGGAGCACCATAAAATCCATTATTAAAACATTTAAAGAATATGGCACCACAACAAACCTGCCAAGAGAGGGCCGTCCACCAAAACTCACAGACCAGGAAAGGAGGGCATTAATCAGAAAGGCAACAAAGAGACCAAAGATAACCCTGAAGGAGCTGCAAAGCTCCACAGTGGAGATTGGAGTATCTGTCCATAGGACCACTTTAAGCCATAAACTCCACAGAGCTGGGCTTTACGGAAGAGTGGCCAGAAAAAAAGCCATTGCTTGAAGAAAAAAATAAGCAAAGACATTTGGTCTTTGCCAAAAGGCATGTGGGAGACTCCCCAAACATATGGAAGAAAGTACTCTGGTCAGATGAGACTAAAATTGAGCTTTTTGGCCATCAAGGAAAACGCTATGTCTGGCGCAAACCCAACACCTCACATCACCCCGAGAACACCATCCCCACAGTGAAGCATGATGGTGGCAGCATCATGCTGTGGGGATGTTTTTCATCGGCAAGGACTGAAAAACTGGTCAGAATAGAAGGAATGATGGATGGCACTAAATACTGGGAAATACTTGAGGGAAACCTGTTTCAGTCTTCCAGAAATTTAAGACTGGGACAGAGGTTCACCTTCCAGCAGGACAATGACCCTAAGCATACTGCTAAAGCAACACTCGAGTGGTTTAAGAGGAAACATTTAAATGTCTTGGAATGGCCTAGTCAAAGGCCAGACCTCAATCCAATTGAGAATCTGTGGTATTACTTTAAGATTGCTGTACACCAGCGGAACCAATCCAACTTGAAGGAGCTGGAGCAGTTTTGCCTTGAAGAATGGGCAAAAATCCCAGTGGCTAGATGTGCCAAGCTTATAGAGACATACCCCAAGAGACTTGCAGCTGTAATGGCTGCAAAAGGTGGCTCTACAAAGTATTGACTTTGGGGGGGTGAATAATTATGCACGCTCAAGTTTTCTGTTTTTTTGTCTTATTTCTTGTTTGTTTCACAAGAAAAAATATTTTGCATCTTCAAAGTTGTAGGCTTGTTGTGTAAATCAAATGATACAAACCCCCCAAAAAATCCATTTAAATTCCAGGTTGTAAGGCAACAAAGTTGAAGATTTTACATTTTTTCAAAGGTACAATTTCAACATATTTTATACAAGGTTTGTATATGCTGAAAATAGGTTACATTAGCTAGGTTTCCATCCAACTGGCGACAGATTTCATGTGAATATTCTAAATTCTGCATAAAAAAAAAAATGCATATTTTCCCAACAGTGGTGTTTCCACCAAACTGACTTATTGCGTTTAAAAATCAGTGTTTGATGACGTAATGCACACAAAAGGTACTTTTTCGTTTAAGTTTTCATGCATGGTTTCCCTAGTAGTGGGAGAACCACACATCATCTCATTGAGTGACTCCAACAAAGACATTTCCACCACCATTTCTCAGATAATTAATTTTACCAACACAAAAAGAACCCACCATGTCGAACGAACAAATTATCTGTCGGCATTTATAAAATTGCACCGAAACTTCCTGTTTCCATCACAGCTGTCATGATTTTTTATACGGTATGACTTTACTCGCATATAAACTGTGGATGGAAATGTGGTTATTGATGACATAATTCCTTGGTTGAAATTTCACTCTCAAAACAACAGTTAACATTGTTTACTTTTTTCAAATCCAATATATTTTCCATGTAGATTCCATGTCACAATACGATGACGAATTACGTTGAAACAATGTTGATTCAAACAGTTTGTGCCCAGTGGGTGGTATCATGGAAGCATTATTATTATGAGTTCTTCATAGCTACAATATTGCCAATAGTATTTCATGTAACTCAAGGTATTTGTGACTGAGTAAACACAGTGGAGGGATGTTCAGCAATTCTAACATGTCTCATGTTTTTCTGATGATAATTAGTCAAACACAGTGGGGGAGTCAAACTGCACCGTCTAATGAATTTTTCAATTTCCCATCAGCTGCACAATAGATAAATTAATGAAATTCTAAATTAGTGCCAAATGCCAGTTTATTCCAAAAAAGTATTAAATATGAATGTGATCAAATAGTAGATTTGAATAGGGAAGGGGTTATTAAGTTTAGTAGAAAGACAGCCCATCACGTTACTCATGAGGAGTGTTGGGATTATTACATTTAAAAAATACATTAACGCGTTACTGTACAATATTACTTTGTGAGGAAAGTAAAACATTATATTACTAATTATATTACTTTGCATTACTTTCATGAAAGAAAACCTCAAAATCTCACAATTTGTTTGACTGTCACTTGGAGCAAGGCGAGCCGCGCCGCTCTACCTTTCATCTGTGGCGCTGCTTTTCTGTGCAAGTCTACAAGTGCTACGCTATATATGGGCAGCTTAATTAGCATATACAGTGAGGGAAAAAAGTATTTGATCCCCTGCTGATTTTGTACGTTTGCCCATTGACAAAGACATGATCAGTCTATAATTTTAATGGTAGGTTTATTTGAACAGTGAGAGACAGAATAACAACAAAAAAATCCAGGAAAACGCATGTCAAATATGTTATGAATTGATTTGCATTTTAATGAGGGAAATAAGTATTTGACCCCTCTGCAAAACATGACTTAGTACTTGGTGGCAAAACCCTTGTTGGCAATCACAGAGGTCAGACTTTTCTTGTAGTTGGCCACCAGGTTTGCACACATCTCAGGAGGGATTTTGTTCCACTCCTCTTTGCAGATCTTCTCCAAGTCATTAAGGTTTCGAGGCTGACGTTTGGCAACTCGAACCTTCAGCTCCCTCCACAGATTTTCTATGGGATTAAGGTCTGGAGACAGGCTAGGCCACTCCAGGACCTTAATGTGCTTCTTCTTGAGCCACTCCTTTGTTGCCTTGGCTGTGTGTTTTGGGTCATTGTCATGCTGGAATACCCATCCACGACCCATTTTCAATGCCCTGGCTGAGGGAAGGAGGTTCTCACCCAAGATTTGACGGTACATGGCCCCGTCCATCGTCCCTTTGATGCGGTGAAGTTGTCCTGTCCCCTTAGCAGAAAAACACCCCCAAAGCATAATGTTTCCACCTCCATGTTTGACGGTGGGGATGGTGTTCTTGGGGTCATAGGTAGCATTCCTCCTCCTCCAAACACGGCGAGTTGAGTTGATGCCAAAGAGCTCGATTTTGGTCTCATATGACCACAACACTTTCACCCAGTTCTCCTCTGAATCATTCAGATGTTCATCGGCAAACTTCAGACGGCCCTGTATATGTGCTTTCTTGAGCAGGGGGACCTTGCGGGCGCTGCAGGATTTCAGTCCTTCACGGCGTAGTGTGTTACCAATTGTTTTCTTGGTGACTATGGTCCCAGCTGCCTTGAAATAATTGACATGATCCTCCTGTGTAGTTCTGGGCTGATTCCTCACCGTTCTCATGATCATTGCAACTCCACGAGGTGAGATCTTGCATGGAGCCCCAGGCCGAGGGAGATCAACAGTTATTTTGTGTTTCTTCCATTTGTGTATAATCGCACCAACTGTTGTCACCTTCTCACCAAGCTGCTTGGCGATGGTCTTGTAGCCCATTCCAGCCTTGCGTAGGTCTACAATCTTGTCCCTGACATCCTTGGAGAGCTGTTTGGTCTTGGCCATGGTGGAGAGTTTGGAATCTGATTGATTGATCGCTTCTGTGGACAGGTGTCTTTTATACAGGAATAAACTGAGATTAGGAGCACTCCCTTTAAGAGTGTGCTCCTAATCTCAGTTCGTTACCTGTATAAAAGACACCTCGGAGCCAGAAATCTTTCTGATTGAGAGGGGGTCAAATACTTATTTCCCTCATTAAAATGCAAATCAATTTATAACATTTATGACATTAGTTTTTCTGGATTTTTTTGTTGTTATTCTGTCTCTCACTGTTCAAATAAACCTACCATTAAAATTATAGACTGATCATTTCTTTGTCAGTGGGCAAACGTACAAAATCAGCAGGGGATTTTTTCCCTCACTGTATACTGTAAGCCAAACATTTGTACAGATTTCCTATCTTTTTAATCAAAATCTTTCTCTCGAGACTCCAGTTCTGGTTATAGACCCATAGAGATGTGCTCTATGTAGGGCACACTTGCCACTAGACGGGATAGCCCTCTATGGGCTTTGCTATCACAGAAACAATCAATGGCAAAGATCAGAGGTGCGCCCTCTATACATTTCCATGGACAGTAGCTGTCATGACATTTCTCCAAACAGCCTTTCTCCGCTCTCTCCAAATGAGGAAACAAGTCGAGGTTGGATCTTGGAAACACACGGCTGGTAGAGATATGATTCTGAAAGTAACGCAAGCGTTGTTTGACAAAGTAACTGTAAAAATATTACCCAATTTGAAAAAGTAACATGTTACTTTACTCAGATACTCATAAAATAAATCTGATTATGTAACGCATTACCCCCAACACTGCTCAGGAGAAATCCAATTATACACAGATTATGGAAGTGTTTCTGCAAGCAGTCACTTTAACTGTGCAATTGCATATATTATTTGTTAACTATTCCATGTACCTTTGTGTGAAAAATTATCGTCATTCTATGTTGTGTGGGTATTTTTGCCTTGATATGGATATTTAGGGCCAAGTTTGCACCAGTTTTTTTTTTTTTTTCCCCCAGCAATGTGTAAAACACCAAAAGTAAACCCATAACATGAGACCTGTGATGAGGTGATTTGGAAGGAGTCAGGCGCAGGAGCATAAATCACAGAATAACAGGATTTATTCTGAAACACAGAGTTAGTTACTCAGTAATGCGTCAAAACACTCCAGTGCGCAAAACAGGTGCACTGGAAAATACAAGGCACACGGGGAAATATCCTGGCCATACAAAATACACGGAGCTCCACCGAGCTTCTCTATCCTCCACAATAAACAATCAAACACAAAGACAAGGGGGCAGAGGGAACACTTACACGGGTACTGATGAGGGGATATGAACCAGGTGTGTGTAATAAACAAGACAAAACAAATGGAATGATGAGATGAGGAGCGGCAGTGGCTAGAAGGCCGGTGACGACAAACGCCGAAGCCTGCCCGAACAAGGAGAGGTGGCAGCTTCGGAGGAAGTTGTGACAAGACCGTGTTTATTTACCGTTTACCTTTGTTTTTGTTCTTTCTCTTGACCTTTATTTGACCTTTTTGTTATTTCATCAATGTTTTAATATCCTTTTGAAAATACAGGTGCAAAGTAAACTTGGCACTTAGCCTATTTTAGTTCGAAGCTTCATATGATACGGTGTGTTACTTATTGTTTTCCTATAACCATACCTCTGGGAAAACAATTGATATTCTTTTATGTTTTATCTGTATGAACTACACTTTTTTCCTGCATAAACATTGCGATTTTCATGGTAATATGACAGTCTCTATGACAACCTATCATTCCTTCGTTTGTCTATTTTCATCTCTCTGACAATGTGAACTAACATGTTAATATGTCTCTCTCTCTCTCTCTCTCTCTCTCTCTCTCTCTCTCTCTCTCTCTCTCTCTCTCTCTCTCTCTCTCTCTCTCTCTCTCTCTCTCTGCGAGCGTCTATTTTGAGATATGCAAATGCCTCTTAATCAGACCTAATTAACATCTCTATTGTGTGACCTTACGTTGTCACAGACCCTTGAGTGCCGTTAACTGCACTCAAATATCATACTTGCGAACTTCATGCTTGAGTTGTATTTTTGAACACACTATGGATATATATCCTTCTCATATGAAACAGTACGTATGGAAAGTTAGGCTGAACTTAAGGAAAGATGATAATATCAACTATTATCTAAAAAGCAATTTTCACACTAAATTTCCATGTACTGTAACATATTAACACAGCCATATGTGGCCATATCGTTGGGGAATAAAAACATTTATAGAGGTCTATAATATATTTATGTATTCCTTATGTCTCTCTACAGAGGAGATTCTCCAGTCCCATGTGGCACACTGGTGGTCACCCGATGGAGAGAGATTGGCCTTCCTGGTTCTCAATGATACTCTGGTGCCCAATATGGCCCTTCCTCGCTTCACTGGGTCTTCATACCCCAAGGGAAAGCAATACCCCTACCCTAAGGTAAGCAATAGCCTAAATCTGAGATGATGTACAGTACATTGTCTGCTGCCACCCACCTAGCCAGCTCGATAGGTGGAATGAAACAAATTGGCCTGACTCCAACATAGCTCTGACTAGTCTGAGAAAGTAATATCAACAGTATCTCTAGTCTTCATACAATCAAAATCAAAATCTGTGTTTCGGGAGTAAGACAAATCAACATTCCTCTTGAGCTTTTAGAAACCAAACTTAGATATTTATACTTACATTTACATTTCAATTTAAGTCATTTAGCAGACGCTCTTATCCAGAGCGACTTACAAATTTGTGCATTCAACTTAGGATAAACAGTGGGACAACCCCCACTGGGGGAGGGGGGGGGTGTAGAAGGATTACTGTTAGACTATTCCAGGTATTCCTTAAAGAGGTAGGGTTTCAAGTGTCTCCGGAAGGTGGTCAGTGACTCCGCTGTCCTGGCGTCGTGGGGGAGCTTGTTCCACCATTGGGGTGCCAGAGCAGCGAATAGCTTTGACTGGGCTGAGCGGGAACTGTGCTTCCATAGAGGTAGGGGGGCTAGCAGGCCAGAGGTGGATGAACGTAGTGCCCTCGTTTGGGTGTAGGGTCTGATCAGAGCCTGAAGGTAAGGAGGTGCCGTTCCCCTCACAGCTCCGTAGGCAAGCACCATGGTTTTGTAGTAGATGCGAGCTTCAAAGTGTGAGGCCAATCCGGCCATGTGTTCTTGGCCCAAGGTTAAACTAGAAGCGGCAGAATCCATACTGAGGGTGAGAACCAGTAGAGCTTGGCATATGGCATTTAGGGTTGAGTACGAACAGTGAATGCCACACTGAATGTAGAAAAAACACTGCTACTCTATTAGGGAGGTTTGGCATTAGAAAAGGTCAATACGATACTGTGTCTCTATGATTAGTCTCTTTGAGGTCTGGTACATGTCTTCATGCATTGTTCAAAACCAACCTTTGTGGTTCTCATTCATATTTAAACATGGTTAGGCTGAATACAGTGCTGTGTGTAAATGAGGTGATAACTTTTTGTCATACTGTATTTCTCGTTTTCTTTCATAACATTAACATTTGGGTAACACTTTACATTAAGTTGCCCTTATTACTATGTAACTACAAAGTAATAACTGTAGTAACAACATAGTAGTTACATAGCTGTTACTATGTAAGTACATAGTCATAAGTTTGAAGCGTTTTTAGTTATTGTACAATTGGAACAAGGAAAGTGTAATTACACATCCACTTGCTGAAGGTTATTCCACATGTGTAATTACTGATGTTATTACACATTTTATTGTTCCACTATGTAACTAATGTTTTGTAATTACACATTTGAAAGTCACCTGTGAATTACCATGTTAATAACTCGAAACAAAATCTGACCATTGTTACATGTAACTACAAGGAGCCACTACCATTGAATCCACATGTCATACCAGGGTTGATAAATAGGCTAGGACCTGGTAACAACAATTGTAACAAGGCATACCCTGTCATTAACTACCGGTCATTATCACTGAGTTTATTTCTGTGTAATGGCCTGGCTCAAAGGCTATACCGAATCAAGTGTAATGTAATGACCCAGCTACACCACATGTGTGACATCCACGTCCGTGAGACCTGCGTGATACCGAGTTGATAGAGTCCTACTGCAGTCAATGTTACCTGCTACATAGGCGTGTGCTTAAAGCGTAGACGTTGCGTGGCTGCTGTAGCAGCAACCTAAAATTGGGTTTGGAGTCTATTACACTTGACAACAGGTCAGAAGAACTCACCACTGGACCCTTCCTACGATGATAAGCCTCCACCCTGGACTTTCCAACCATGTGTTAGTGCATCACTGACTATGTAAGTGGAATATGTTAGGGTTCATGTGTATATTCTCTGTATATAATAGGCCCTTGGTACTGTTTAACTACTGCATAATTACTACCTTGTGTTTATTCATTTGTATATAGCCTGTTGTGTTCATTGTGAGCTGCTAGCCACTATATTGCTTGTCACTGTACAATTATGTAGTTATTAGCACTGCTATTACATTGTTATTACTGCCTTTGTAGCTATAACAGTTGTACAGTGTCTGATACATTCTCTCTCTCTCTTCTTTTCCTAGAGAACCACTGTACACTATTCACTACCACTAGTCTCCTCTTCCTGTTTGCTGCGTATGTGTGTCTGTTCGGTGTATGGAAATTAAGTGTTGAAATAAATTGTATCCCTGGCTCCTACTTGTCATTTATGTCCTCTAACTGACGCTGGAACAGTTGTACATAGTCTAAACCGGCACCTCTTTTGGAGACCACCTCACGGTGGCGCTCTTTTTCACTCAGCTTCATAGTTTGAAAATGTAATAGAAACATTAATAATATTAGTAGGCTACATCAATACAATAGTAGTAGTCCTATCTGTATGAAAAACAAATATATAAATGGAACTGTAGTCTTCCTAGTTCATAATATGGAGGTAGGTTTTTATATCTACAGTATCAATGCTTTTGAGAAACTTTTAAACATTGAAACCAGCTGATGAACGGAACGGCAGTTGATGTCTACCTTGTAATATCTTTTGAGGCAGAGGATGCTGTAGAGTAGACTCCTCCCCCGACCCTCCTTGGAAGATATTCCGATTTGACAGGACAGGACAAAGTTAGCTAAATGGATGACACCCGTTTGATCATCGAAGTTGAGAAGCACACTTTGCTGTATGACCCCAGCAAGCCACAATACAAGAACGCTTTGTCCTAAGAAAAAGCATGGAATGCTGTAGCATCTGTCCTTGGAGCACCAGACATGTTTTGCCAGAGATACTGTATATCAGTGGAGGCTGGTGGGAGGAGCTGAAATTGAATAAACGGAACCGAGTCAAACGTGTTGGAAAGGTCTGTTACTATTCAATTTATTCCATTCCAGCCATTACAATCAGCTCGTCCTCCTATAGCTCCTCCCACCAGCCTCCACTGCTGTATAAATGACGAGCTAATCTTCTCTGCCCAAACAATGGCCGTCATTGTCCAAAAGGCGGGAAGGCAGGCGGTCTGCTTATCGGTCTGCTTATCAGTCTGTTTAGGAAGAGCTCGACATTTACACAATAGTTACCCAGAGGAAAATGGGGGATGGTCATGCTTTTTCAATTTCAGTCAGGTGGGGGGGTTTAGTATTTTTAAAATGTAGTCCAGGGGAGGGTCATGTAATTTGTAATCATTTAAATGTCATATTGCTCAGGGTTTGAGAATGAGTTGCTTATTATAGTATGTGTGCCCAATGATGCCCCTCATCCCTGATTCCCTGCTGGGCGTGCAATATCAAGTGCACCTAGTGTGGTCTCAATAAAATGATCTATTGCCTATACCAGCCTTTCTCAAACCCTGGTCCGTAGACCGGCGCCGGTCCGTGGAGGAATGCTTGCCGGTCTGCAGCATATTTGTCTTGAATATGATTTAATTTTTTGGGTGGTCTGCTGCATATTTGCCTCTAATAAATACTTGCCGTAGGTCTACTTGCACAATGCGCTGAACTATGCATGCTGCAGTTAACAAATTGTGTTGCCATGACTAAGTGTAGCTACACTAAACACACACACACACACACACACACACACAAGATAGCCCTGCTGGGCAGCCTGCACACAAGGCTTGGGCGGTACACTGTATATACTGTATACCGGGTATTTGGAACCAGCCACGGGGTGGTTTTTCAATACTGTTGATACCGTTGAAACTACAGTATGTCTTTAAAATGTACTTTATACATTTGAATATTTGTAGCTACTTTTTAAAGGGATGTATCCAGAATGAAGGAAGTTAGAGGTAGTTTCGAGAGCCAATGCTAACTTGCGTTAGCATTGGCTCTCAGTTCATATGAGGAAATCAATCAATAGAGATAAATTCATTAGGCCCTAATCTATGGATTTCACATGACTGGGAATACAGATATGCATCTGTTGGTCACAGATACCTTTAAAAAAATGGGCCTCACAATGGGCCTCAGGATCTCGTCAAGGTATTTTTGTGCATTCAAATTGCTATCGAAAATGCAATTGTGTTCATTGTCCGTAGCTTATGCCTGCCTGCCCATACCATAACCCCACCACCACCATGGGGCACTCTGTTCACAACGTTAACATCAGCAAACCACTCGCACCACATGACGCCATACACGTGGTCTGCGGTTGTGAGGCCAGTTGGACGTACTGCCAAATTCTCTCAAACGATGGTAGAGAAATTAACATTTAATTATCTGGCAACAGCTCTGGTGGACATTCCTGCAGTCAGCATGTATATTGCACTCTCCCTCAAAACTTGTCCCCAGCACATGGTGCACCTGTGTAATGATCATGCTGTTGAATCACCTTCTTGATATGCCACACCTGTCAGGTGGATTGATTATCTTGGCAAAGGAGAAATGTTCACTAACAGGACTGTAAAGAAATGTGTGCCCAAAATGTCAAAGAAATAAGCTTTTTGTGCATATGGAAAATTCCTGGGATCTTTTATTTCAGCTCATGAAACATGGGACCAACACTTTACATGTTGCGTTTATATTTTTGTTCAGTATAGATACCCATAGACTTCCAGTTGTAGTGTAATATAAAAATCTCCATCAACTGGATGAGTCACCATTTAGTTTGGTGGAAATTATCCAACCATTATGTAGGTTGGTGGAAATCCCCATCAACTGAGGATGAGGGGTCACCATTATGTAGATGTGTATAATTATGTTGAGTAATAATACAGTCTAATAAAAAGCATGAGCTGGCGCACACCCAGAGAATATTTTTTACTGTAGAGGTGCTGACTAACGGAGAATAAACTGTAAGCTATAAAAACAGCTTACAGTTGAAGTCGGAAGTTTACATAAACTTAGGTTGGAGTCATTAAAACTTGTTTTTCAACCACTCCACAAGTTTCTTGTTAACAAACTATAGTTTTGGCAAGTCGGTTAGGACATCTACTTTGTGCATGACACAAGTAATTTTTCCAATAATTGTTTACAGACAGATTATTTCACTTAAAATTTACTGTATCACAAT